TGATATTTATTTTATATGTTTAAATGCCATTTAACAAAGAAAAATCAACCAAAAAAATGAGTTCGAGTGTCACCTCTGACAGCGTGTCAGGTTCGCCATCACTGGCCTGGGGTAAACGAGAAGCTGTGTGCGCCTCGCCCTCAGTGTGCACACGTCTCCGTGTCGGGCCACGGGGGGCGGGGCCGTGGAGCGGGGGCTGCAGCGGGGCTGGGACTGTCCTTGCTGAGCTGATCCCCAGGCGGATGGTCTTCTGTGGCCCTCGCCGTCCCTCTTCCCAGGGAAGCACGGGGCCGACACCGTCACACGTCTCCGTGTCGGGCCGCGCGGGGCTGGGTCTGTCCTTGCTGAGCTGATCCCCAGGTGGATGGTCTTCTGTGGCCCTGGCCGTCCCTCTTCCCAGGGAAGCACGGGGCCGACACCGACTCACAGGACGCTCCCGGCTCCTGGTTCAAATTTCACGAGGAGTCAGAGTCCCCGGAAAGGGCAGAGGCGGCCCATCGCTCTCATCAGCTGGTTTTTGACGAAGGTGCCAAGGTCAGTCAAGGGCGCCCTCCTCAAGCGGTGGCCCCGGGACAGCTGGGAGCCACATGGAGCAAATACAGGCGCTTTCCTCGCGCCACTCAAAGCGTCAACTCGACAGAGGTCACAGGGCCGAATGTAACAGGCAAAACTGTGATACTTTTAAAAGAAATCTTAGTGACCTTGGATTTGGCAAAAAAAATTTTTAAAGGGACCACAAAGCCACAAAGTATAAAAGAAAAAAAAAATCAATAAATTTGACTTCCTCAAAATAGAATTTTTTAAAGGGGCCCCAAAATATAAAAGAAAAAAAAATCAATAAATTTGACTTCCTCAAAATAGAAAAAATTAGCTCTTCAAACCACACTATTATGAAAATAAGACAAGTCACAGGCTGGGAGAAAATATTTGTAATGCAAACATCCGACTTGTACATTCGTGATATAAACAACTCTTACAGCTAAATCCTAAGAGAACAAACTACTGCCGCCCCCAAAAGGGCAGGAGGTTTGAACAGACCCGTCACCAAGTAAGACACATAGTTAACAAATAAGAAAATAAAAATATGCTCCACATAATTATTATGGAAATGCGCATTGGAACCGCGTGAGAACCACTGCACGTCTGTTACAATGACACATCCTAAAGCCCGACTATTAAGTGCTGGCAGAGATGCGGGAACTCTCGCTGCTGGTAGCGACGTAACTTCCGCGTCTTCTCTGGGACATATTTGAGCACGTGGCCCAGCCTCTCCCGCCTGGATACCTACCCGAGAGAAACGGGAATGTTATTCCTCGGAAACGCTGGCCCATGAACGTTCAGAGACTTTGTGATCCCCAACATCTGGAAACAGCCCACGTGCCCAGGAGCCGTGAACAGAGAAGCAAGCTTCGGTGTCTACACAGCGACGTTACTGAGTAATAAGAGAACCAACTGTTGCTACATTCCAACATCCTATATCCTATATAATAAAAGGCTAATATGCAAATTGTCCCATCGGGAGTTTGACCGATCAGGAATTCAACTGCTCGCTATGACCTGCACTGACCACCACGGGGTGGCGCGGAACGAAGGAAGGCCCTGGCCGGCAGCCGGAAGGCCCTGATCAGCCCTGATCGCCAGCCAGGCCTAGGGACCCTACCTGTGCATGAATTCCATGCACCGGGCCTCTAGTTCAATACTAAAATAACTGTGTCGCATAACAGAAGACAGACAATAGTGCATAGCGTATTTATGGCGTATTATTCCGTGTGGCCTATTATGCCCTCTGTCCGGGCTGGGGTGCCCGGCCTGGGACGGCTGAGTTGGGAGGGGAGGCAGAGAGAAGTGATCTGAAATACAGATGTGTAGCCACAGCGAAGGCCTGTGTGGGAAGCTGGAGGGAATGGAGGGGGAGAGGATGTCTGGACGCCATGGCGTGTCCAGGGCCTGAGCTGTGGCAATGGCCCTGCGGGGCACACGTAGGAACTCATCGGGTCGTGTGACTTAATACGGACACTTCATTATGTGTCCGTACGCACCAGGGAATGGTACACGCTTAGGATGGGAAGGGAGTGTCCAGGCGCCCGAGGGTTCGGCAGGTGGCCGTTTGGGTCAGATGGGGGCGTGCGTGGAGGCAGGGAGGCAGCGGTCTGGATGAGGAATCGGGGTGATTGGGGTGACTACTGTGACCAGGACGTGTGGGTTGGTGGGATGGCTCTGGTGACCTTCTGGGCAGGCAGGTGAGCGGTTCTAGCTACAGCGGGCACACCGGCCACGCTGCTGCCCCACAGGCTGGGGTGCCCGGCCTGGGACTGCAGAGCCTCTCAGGCCAGGGCTCCCTCAGGGAGGGGCAGGCTGGGGGTGGGGCTCTGGGAGGAAGGG